AATGATAATCTACCTTAACCAAAATCAAAGTAGACTATCACTCACCCACACCAGATGAAAAACTCTCTCTCTCTCTCTCTCTCTCTCGATATATATATATATATATATATATATATATATATATATATATATATATATATATATATATATATATATACAGGGGATAAGTATGTGACGATCACTTCTCACAATCACAGTGGGGCTCCACACAACCATATGTATATGTGTGATCACAGGCAGTCAAATCCAAAATCCGAACCCCAGAACATACATGCAATCACATCAAAGAATCAAACAAGGTCCACATACTACACGAAGTCAACCCCAACCACTCTCCATACTCATACCCCTCGCTTTAGCCATGCAAGTCCCAACCTCCTGTCCAACCAACCATAATTAAGTACTCAGTACCTTTGTTAAATGGCCATTCAATAAAAGTCCGGGTGAAACCTTAACAAAACAATAAAAATCATCAGGGCTAAAGCCTTTTTAGGTTGAGTATTGAGGGTAAATTTGGAGTTGAGTCGTAAACCGACGAATCGGCAACCGACCTGTTATCAGTGATAACAGAAGGTGATCCTCGTGGGATCAAAGCTGAATCTAGCCCAAACCCTGAATCGACTCGTTCAAGAAGACCTATACACAAGACAGGCCAATCCCCAAGCTAAGTCTGTAAGTTTATGGAGAATAATCTCCATATCATGGTCTCACCCAAATCACCCTATTCAACTAAGTCCGAATGTACCGCTAGGCAGTGCCCAAAGCAAAGGTAGACCCTGGCATAATCTCCCCTACACAGAGTGGATCTCCAGAAATCGCCACCTGTCAAAATATAATTTAACTCCTCTAAGTTAGGGAAATTTCGGCAGCGCTTCTCGTAGGAAAATTGCCATCGCAGAATTTGCACTAGCCTGAAAATCAGACTTTTGGATTCTAGAAAGTCAAAATTTGTCTAACTCCCTGATTTAGCAGAAATTTGGGCAGCACTTCCTTTAAAAAGGAAGACTTTCCAGATTTATACAAAGTCAGATATGAACTCAGACATAAAGTCTGAGTTCTGTTAAGACAAAATTTTAACCAACTCCTTAGATTTGTAGAAATTTCGGCAGCGCTTCCCGTAGAGAAAGTGTTATTCCAAGATTTATACAAAGCTAAGTTTAGAATCTGAAATGACTTTGACCCTTCAAGGCCCAATTTTGTCTAACTCCCTGAATTAGTAAAAATTCGGGCAGCACTTCCTTTAGAAAAGGAGGTTTCTCACATTCTTACTAAGTCAAAAAGCCAACAAGACCGGATCCTGAAGAAGACAAAGTTTTGACTAACTCCTTGGTTTTGTAGAAATTTCGGCAGCGCTTCCCGTAGAGAAAGTGGCTTACCAAGATTTATACAAGACCAAGTATAAATAAAAGATTCCAGAAAATGCAGAAATTGACCTAAGTAAAAATAAGCTTAGCTCAGAAAATGCAGGAATTGAAACTAACTCCTATGGCTCTAGCACGTGGCGAGCAACTAAAGCAACTACCTATCAACCTGAAACTCGGATCAGATAGTCATCCCACTCAGCTACATGCAAGTCAAACCACGAGGGTAAGTACTCTCACCATCCCAAGTTATTTCTCATAAGATAGTTTATGAGTCTTCAGATCATTCAACCCTTATACCCAACTTACATATGGCACTAATGTTGGACCATTCGGCTTGGAAACAATGTCCAGCGTGCCTTTAGGATATACACGAACAGGTTGCACTACTACTTTTCTCTTGTTTGGGCATTTGGTTAGACCATTCGGCTTGGAAACAATGCCTAGCCGCCCTGAACTGTTTAATATCCAAAGTTTAGTAATTCTCCGACTTAGTTCTCAAAATAAGATGCAAATATGGGTAGGGGACTGAACCATTCGACTTGGAAACAATGATCAACTTGCCCAGTCTATTTCCAATTATAGTTCGTAATTTCCCTTTTATTCTTAGCGATATGGCTTAACGCTGGGCCATTCGGCTTGGAAACAATGCCCAACTGCCAGTTCACATGCAAATATATATAAAATACTTTCTTTTATACTCAGGTTGTACTTATGTGCGTGGTTTTCAGGCTAAGCCATTCAGCTTAGAAACAATGCTCAGCCTTAGACCAAAAATCCTCCCTCAGAATGAAACAAGAAAACCCTTTCACATCAGGCAAGCCCTCAGAAAATAAACATAGCAACCAGGTCATTCAACTTAGAAAAAATGCCTGGCCTTTCAGAAAACAGTCAAATAAACACAGCCCTGAGCCATTCCGCTTAGAAACAATGCTCAGCCCCTGGTTGACCCGGTCAAACGCATGCAGTCTGCTTTCCTCCCACCTTCCCCAAGTTCATCCCCTGAGTCTGCTTTCAGTCAAGGTAAAAATGAAACTTAACCTTTACTCTCATACCTTTTTCCCATTCATTCTGATTATGTCTTGAACAGAAAGCAAGAATCATAAGGACAGTCTCATACATACATCAGCCAAACTAATGAGGGATAGGCAAACATGGGTGATATGGGGTCATACAGATAGAAAGATGATATACCTGATGGTTCCCTGCCTCCAGAACCTCGCCTAGGCAGAGCTCTCGCAATCAGTGGGTGGACTCCCCACAGAATCTTGATGCGGTCCTACGGGTTGCAATCCCGTCTGCCGCCTTCCTCTCGTAACCAACAGACGAGACTCTAATGAGAAGGGCATAAAGAGATAGGTTTAAGACTCTCAGATCCAAGGAGGGTGCGCTCAGACTCGCGTGAGAGGGCCTTGGTTCCTTGATGCGCCTGAGGGCCCCGCAATGATGGCCAAGAACCGCAGCAGCTTGGTCAACCTCTGAAGTCAACTGTCAAAGTCACCCCTCTGCCGACCTCCCAGTCACAGTACCAACCCCCCTTCCCAAGCTCAGTCACTCCACTAAGCCCAGTCGCTGCTGTACAACAAGTTGTAACAATCAGCGACAGCCGCAGCGGTGTGCAGTAGTTTGCAGCAACCAACAGTAGGCAGCAGCAGTAGCAGTCGCCGGCAGTTGGCCACAGCTTGGGCACAGCCAACAGCAGCAGCAGCCGTTTCCCACAGCTTGTAGCAGCAGGCAGCAGTGTGCAGCAACCAGAGTAGTCGATGCAGTAGGTCGCAGTATGCAGCAACCACCGTAGCCTGTCGTAGTAGGCCGCAGTATGCAACAACCGCAGTAGCCTGCAGCCCGTGCACGGTACGCAGCAGCTGTTCGTAGTGGCCAGCAGCCTGATATGCGTGCCACTCAGCCGAAGCTCAACCAGGCATCGCACCTACACCCCGCCCGCCACCTCCAGGGCACCGTAGCATGCGATTACTAGCCCTCTCACAACTCCATACGACAAAATTAGCAGCGCAGCAGCCAGTCGGTAGGTATGCAGCCTCGCCGCTCTGCTCCTTGCGTTACACCGCCGTCTCCCTTAATGAAGTTGCAGCTACGCGGTCTTAAGCAGCCGTACTCAG